ATTATTGGCAGCATAGTAGGTTTGGTTATAACAGCATTACCACAAATGTGAGTGACATGTTGTCCTACAGCTGTCATGTCACTAGATGATAGAAATTTTCTGTTCCATTATAATCTCATGAGACTACCATCAGATTGTTGCATATTTCCCTTGTGACAGACATCGTTATGTGGTGCTTAATTATGTATCCATATCTTTTATTATCTATAGTTTGTGAACTTTTCTATTAGATTTTTGGTTTTTTTTCCAAATTAATAACTTAAAAATTTGAGATATAGTTCATATACTATATAGTTCACCCCATTGAAAGTATATAGCTTTGTGGGTTTGTAGTTACATAATCACCACTATAATCTTATTTATTTATTTGTTGCGACTGGGAATTGAACTTAGGGTCTCATGAATGCTAGGCAAGTGCTGTACCACTTGAGCCACACCTCCATCTACAATCTAATTTTAGAATTCCCTATCACCCTAAAAAGGAACTCCATACACATTAGCAGCTACTTCTTTTTCCCTCAGTCTCTCAGCCCTAGACAGCCACTATTTCTGTCTTCATGGATTTGTTTGTTTTGAACATCTGACATAAAATTAATGTGACTTATTACAAGTTGTATTGTTTATCATATAATACAAATAGAACCATACAATATAGGTCTTTTGTGATTGGCTTTTTTCACTCCATGAAAGTGAAGTGATAAAATGCTTATACTTTCCCAGACACTGTTCCAAGACATTTAATCCTCATGACAACTTTATGAAATAGATACTGTTATTATCCCCATTTTATAGATGAGGAAACAGTCACAGCAAGGTTAAGTATCTTATCTGTGATCACACAGCAATAAGAAGATGGGCTCTGAGGTCAGACAGAACTCTTGTCTGAGCTCTGTTGCCTGCTCTGAGCTTATGGAATGGAAGGAATTTTAAAGTCCCTCAATACTTCTCATATATTACTTAAATGAAAACAACAATAGCTGAGTCATGGAGATGCTGGAAAGTTAAATAAGACATAGGAACAGTCCTTAGTCAAGGCCTCAAACTTAAGGAAAGTGCAGCATTCATTAATAGGTAGAGCATGTTGGCCCTATCTCCTCTAACATTTAGGTGTACCTGAAATACCAGCATTTTTTAAAAATTCATATACCATGAAATTTACCCTTTTAAAAGTATACAAGCTAGTGGTGTTTAGCATATTCACAAGGTTGTACAGCGATCACCATCATCTAATTCCATCACCTGCAAAGATATTCTTTACCCATTAGCAAAATTACTCCCATTCTCTCCTTACCTAGCCCCTGGCAACCACTGATCTACTTTCTATCACTATGGATTTTGTCTATTGTGAATATTTCATACAAGTGGAATCATACTTTCACTTAGCTTAATGTTTTCAAGGTTCATCCATGTTGTACATCATTAATTTTTTTTTGGCCTGGGTTTTGAACTCAGGGCTCCCAAAGAAAGTACTCACAAAGCAGGTGGTCTGTCTCTTGAGCCACACCTCCATTCCATTTTGATTTGGTTATTTTGGAGATAGGGTCTCAAGCGTTAATTACCCAGGCTGGCCTGGAACCACTATCCTCCCAATATCAACTTCCCAAGCAGCTAGGATTACAGGTGTGAGCCATTGGTGCCTGGCTACATCATTCCTTTTTATTGCCAAGTAATATTTCATTGTACCATATTTTGTTTAGCCTTTCTACAATTGATGGATATTTGGGTTATTCTTTAGCTATTGTGAATAATGCTACTATGAACATTGGTTCATATATTATGGTACACAGGTTTTTGTGTATGTTTTCAGAACTCCTGGTTCATATGGTAATTCTGTTTAATTTTTTTCCAAAGCATTTCCACCATTTTACATCACCCTACCCTCCCCAGCAGTGTATGAGCATTCCTAGATTTCTCCTTATCCCTGCCAACCCTCGTTATAAATTATCTTGTTTTAGCCATCCTAGAGGTTGTGGAGTAGTATTTCTCTAAGGTTTTGATTTTCATCTCTCTAATGCCAAGTGCTTTGAGCATGTGATGTCAGCTTGCAGGTCAGCTCTTTCTTTGGTCCCCAGTGTGTGTTTCCTTTAGAAAGTCACTCCTGGGTTCCTGTTTACCTCCTAGCTGACTTATCCATCATTTTGACCTCTTGGAGACTGATATTCCTTAGAGAGATGGTGGAGGAGAGGGCTTTGGGCAGGTTCTGATGGCTGGGCATCTGCGTGTCCAGGATGCAAGACAGGCGTTCTTTCTGTCAGTAGGTGTGATATCTCTGAAGCTAGTACAGCCATCATGTTGGCTCTCCAGACTGCTGAGACAAAGCCAGTCTGTCCTTGCACACCTTAGGAAATGGGAGCAGGGCTTCTTGAGCTGGAAAGTCGTGAGAGCCTATCTCATCCATCCTTCTGCAACAAGACAGACCCCTCACACCCACCCTACCAGAAAGGGGAGAATCTGTAACCTATTTCTTTAAAAATTCCTATAAAGAGAAATTCCGCTGGCCCCATTTACCACAAGCCAGTATTTTAGAGCCTTTTGTGTTAGGAAAGTCCTTTGCTCTGACCCTGATCCCACCTTCTGCAGCATGTGCCACTGTCTTCCCAAAAGACGTGAGAGACAGCTGTTCCCTTGGAGGTACTTTAGTCTCTGGTCAGACAAAACCACTTTGGCAGGAGAAGCCTTCCCATGAGGAAGTCCAGATCAAGCCAGGCTCTTCCAGGAAACTTTGAAGACTGAATGACCTTGTCACTTGGTTATTGTCTGGGCAGCCTGCTTTGATAAAGAGACCTTCTGACAGGCCCAGGCTGTGTGTTTATCCTGAGGCAGAACCATTCCAAACTCATGCTTCAGAGTGTAGAGGTTGTGTCCAGCCAGCCTGGTGGGTGGTAATCAAACACAGGTGGAGACCATCTGGCTGGGCCTGTCCCTCCCCCTCAGCCAAGTGAGGGCTGGCCTGCCCACCACAGAGCTGGCCCAGAAAGCACACTGTGTAGAGACAGATGGTATACACATGTGTGTGCATGAATGCACACTAGTCTGTGTGTGTGTACACAATCCTCTTTAGGTGGTGCTGTGTGGGTGCAAATGATTCAGTGACTTCTCTTTCTGTGTCTATGGGTTCTCCCCATCATGCAGCCCATTGTGCACATGTTCCTTTTAGTCTGTTTCTCAAGTTTTTGTGGTTAGAAATCATGTATTTCCCTTGGCCCAAGATGAAAGCCCTGGAATGATGGTCTAATACGCTTTACAAAGCTGCCTCTAATTGGTGGCTGCTTGCAATCTTCCCTTTGTCCTAGTGACCCATCTCCTTTTGCAGAGTTCTTGAGACAATCTTGTACTATCCCAGGTTTTCACACCCCTTCCAAACCTGCATCCCTGGGAGGCTGCTTTTGCAGACTTAGCTGTTTCTCCAGCCTTTCTGTACTGAACTGACCTCAACAGAGTAATTCAGCAAAGAAACAAAATAGCTTAGGTGATGTCTCTTCAAGCATCTCTTTCTAGCCTGGTCTCCAAAAGTTCACATGTGTACCCTCCAAGTGGATTCTGCCCATATTGTTATTTAACTGGAGAAAATGCAAACCAGGGGCACTTCCTTAAATGCAGTTGGGTTTGAGCATGATTATTTCTAGGGATTCTTTTTTAGCCTGAAAGAGATTAAATTTAGTTTCTCAGCAGTGATCCTTCCCTACATGGTATAGGAGAGCTGGGTTCATCCAGGCACAAAATCCAAAAGGCTAGGACTGATGTTAGCTTCTGAGATTTGGGGTCTCTTTCTTTCTAATCTCCTGGTCTGACTTCTGGGGTGGTACTGGTAGTAATGATGAAGGAAAGATTCTACAAGGAATTCCAGGGTTGGGCATTGACTACATCATCAGCCTTGAGAGTTCTCCCCTCTGCTTGCTTATTCCAGGAGCTTGGCTAACAGAAGTGTGTGTTGGCTGTCATCTTTACTTATGATTTGTATTTGTAGCTGGGAGTTTACATGTGTATAATCATTGTGGCTCATGTTTGTACAAGATATAATTACTGAAAATTATATCATGGACCTGTTTTAACTTTTAACCCGTCTCATGCTGGCAAGTTTTGTGGCGCTCTCAGGAACTCCTTCCTGGACTCTTTCACCTGAGGAGGTATGGCACCCCACCAGCCAGGCCCTCTTCTCTGCTCCACGGTTGCTGCACTCTGTGGTGGAAGTTCCTTTCAGGGACTTCCCTGAGACTTAGGGCTACTGAGTGCTTCCTTCCAGATGGTGAGGCAGGCATTTCTGACCTATCTCATTATCACCACAGAATCCATGATCCTCCCCATTGTGGGTCACCTGGAGATGGGAAGCGGGCAAACTGTGCTTCTTTGGGTTCCAGTAGCTGAAGAGGCCCATGGAGTGTGGGGGGTTTAGGAGGAACAGTGCCAGTTGGCACATGTCTGGGTGCACTAGGTTTCAAGAATATGGGCCCACCCAGTGTTTGGAATCTGCCTTGGGACCTATCTGCAGATGCTGCCATTGGAGACCAGTCAGTGCAGGCCAGGATATAGCCTGGAGGGATGGAGTCAAGGAAGGGTCCTGTCCTCACAGAGCAGACAGCTTTGTTGGTAGCTCACAGGACATGTACCCTTAGCAAACTAAGTGGGTGCTTATTAATGCTCAAAGTAGTAAGGAGCATGAATAAGGAAGATTCTCATTAATGATGCCTCAACCATACAAAAAAACCTGAAATTTATGGTTCCAAGTGCCAGTGGGGGAGTTTGATTGATTGGGCTGAGATCATAGACATGTACCTGTAGCTGGCAGGAGGTCCAGGCAACAGAGGTTCCTTATAAGTTTTCAAGGTCCTTCCCGCCCCAGCCCCCCCACCCCCACACTGAACTAGCACCCTGGTAAATTCTCTGAATAGAGGATTTGCATGCTGAGGCCACAACACAAAATGGAAACTTCACTTAGACTTTCAAAACAGGGTTTTCTTAAGGTAGTTAGACTGAAGACATTTGCTTCTTATTCCTTTCAGGTTTACAGGAACAGACGGACCTAGTGGTTTTGGCTTTGAGTTGACATTTCGTCTGAAGAGAGAAACTGGGGAGTCTGCCCCACCAACGTGGCCTGCAGAGCTGATGCAGGGCCTGGCCAGATATGTATTCCAGTCAGGTAAGAGCCCAGGGGGCCCAGCTGGTGTGCTGGTCCTGTTGCCATGAGCCTGGTTGGCTTTGGGAGCTTGCAGGTATGTTTTGATGTCTTCAGAGTCCTTCCCTGGGTCATAACAGAGGAATATGTCACTGTGCCTTCCTGTCACTGTCCTGACACCTGACCTCTTGTTGCTGTCTGCCATAATTAGCCTGTTCCCAGCTCCCAGTGACCTGGCTGTCTCTCTTTCTGGGACCACAACTACACATGCTAATCTTGACTTAGGATGGGTTAACAGTAGAGGGTGGGGCTGAGGGAAAAAAAGAATTACCAGATACCTGCCCCCTCTGCTGATAGGGACCTTAAAATGGGAACTTTGTGCAGGGTCTCACTTTCTTGGCCTAGTCTGTCTGTATACTCCAGTGAGATGAAAGGTTGGAACAAAACTTAGCACATTTGATGGAGGCGTCATATCATCTGAATGTTTCTGTGTGGCTAATGAATTGCTCAGAAGCACTGCCCACATGACCTCAGATTTTTGTTTCTTCAACTTGGTATGTAGCCTTTAAATGAAGGCTGAGATACTTTTCCCGATTCTTTTACTCCTTGACTGTCAGCTAAGTATGGAGCAGTATGTAGATCAGGGCCGCAAGAGTGTGCCCCTCAGGTGTCCTGCATCTGAAGCCCTTAGGAACCCTGTTGCAAGCACATGCTCCTGGGCTCCATGGAGACCTCAGACTGAGAATCATTCAGAGTGATGTTCCTGAATGCTTCTGGTAGAGTCTCAATTTAGAGACCCATAGATGTGGTTGCTTCTTTACATACAGTGGCTTTTTTTTTTTTTTTTTAGGATAAAGCAAATATTTATTAGGACACCATTGAAAGGGGAGAACATGGCGGATGGCTAGGCAAAGGAGTGTAGTGCCCAGTGACTTTTTCTAAAGCCTTGATAAGGGATTTGGAGGCATGGCTCAAGTGGTATAGTGCCTGCTTACCAAGCGCAAAGCCATGAGTTCAAACCTCAGTACCACCCCTGCTCCATTCCCCCTCCCCCTCCAAAAAAAGCATTAATTAAAGCCTTGGGTATGTTTTGTATTTGCAATTCAATAGACCTGTTTAGGTTGAACTATTTTGCCTCTTCCTAGTCACCTATGGGTGACTGTCACATAATGAGATGGATCCATACCTGCAATCTACCATCGTGTGTCCTATGGGATAGCCCTCTCTTAGAGGCTGTGGTGAGGATTCTGTAAGCAAGGTTTGCAAACCTGGCTGCTCATAAAGCTCCTGGGAAGTGTGTCAGCACACTGATTTCCTTACCTCTCTGAAGAGCTCTGATTGACTTATGCAGTGGTAGGATAGGGGCATCTGTTTCTTAACCAGCTTCCTGGAGGATTCTGATACAGCTGATCTGAGCTCTTAGGGCCTGCTACCAGGACAAAGAAACATTCACAGGGGCAGGGAAACAGTGAAGCATCTGGCCCATGTGATGCCAGGAGTCTACCGCCTGTGCCCTTTGTATTCCCCCTCTCCCTTCTTGGTGTGTGCTTTAACTCTGAAAAGGAACTGTCTTTGGGAAAATAGACTTTTTGTTGTTGTTGTTTTGGACAGGTCTTGCTGCACAGTCCAAGTTGGCCTGGAACTCACTATATAGATTCTTCTATCTCAGCCTCCCAAGTGCTGGGATTACAGATGTGTACACCACACCCAACTGCAAACAGGCTTTTCTTTTTTTTGTTGGTACTGGGGTTTGAACTCAGGGCCTATACCTTGAGCCACTCCACCAACCCTTTTTTTGGTGATGTGTTTTTTAGAGATAGGGTCTTGCAAACTATTTGCCCAGGCTATCTTCGAACCACAATCCTCCTGATCTCTGCCTACTGAGAAGCTAGGATTACAGGCATGAGCCACCAGCGCCTGGCCAGGCTTTTCTTGATGTAGAATTTGATTTTCTGTAGGAATGGGGACTCTAAAGACTAGGTATCCTCTTGTTTGGATTAACAGGTATTTTCTATTCACTGCTTAAGTCAGTGCATTTTTATGTATACCTGCTCAGGTAGACAACAGAAATGTAAAATAGGTGTTACGAACCACTGCCAAACAGATGAACCTCTGAAATGAGTTGAGATTATTCTGAAGTTATAATGCAGGTCATGGGAAAATAGAATTTGATTTGCAAGGGTTCATCATTTTACCCACACAGTAAGCATCACTGATGACTGTTTTTTGAAGTCAGAGTCTACCTATGTATTCCGGATGACCTCTTGATTCTCTGCCTTCAGCTTCTACGTGCTGGCATTATAGGTGAATGCTGGGATTATAACTAGTGAACATTTTGCAGCTACTGAAGTGATCATTGATTCAGGCACAGATTATTATTATGAATGGCTGCTAAAATTGCTGGCTAAAAAGGTTGTTGGGGAACAACATAATCACAAGGACTCAAAGAACCACTCCAGATTATTTATTAAGAAGTGAAAAATAGTATTTACAATGGGAAGGTTTGAGCAGACATTTCCCTAATCAAATGATCAAACATAACAACATGGGCTGGACATAATAGCTCAGTGGTAAAATGTGTGCTCAGCATGCTCTAAGTTCTGAGTTCAATTTTTAGCATCACAAAAAATCTAATAAAAACCATAGTAACGCTAGTAATGAAATTATTATATACCTCCTTATGTGTTGCATAACTATATAGTACAAAACATCAACTAAGTAGCAGTTTTCCAGAAATGTTGAACCTGAATGTAATCATAAACAAACAGCCAGACAAGTCCAGATTGTAGGACATTTTATAAGAAAACTGCCTGGATTCTTTCAAAATGTCAGTGCTATGAAAGACATGAAAAGACAAAGGGAGAGGATTGTCCTAGATTAAAGGAAACATGATAGCTTAAATGTACTGTGTGATCCTTGATTGTACCCTGAATTGAAAAATAAAGGTCATTTGTAGGACAATTGGAAAAATATGAATGTAGACTGTGTATTAGGCAATAGTTTGTACTATGAAGTTTCTCCAGTGTGTTGATGGCATGATGATATACAGGATAATGTCCTTGTTCTTGGGAGATAAAGGTTGAAGTATTTATAGATAAAATGACATGCCTGCAACTTAACTGTCAAATGATTTGACAAAAAAAAAAATTAAAATCTGTGGAGAAGAGAAAGCAAATGTGACAAAATGTTAATAGCTGGTAAATCTAGGTGGAGGGCATTTGTGTATTCACTGAACTCTTCTATCAGATTGGAAATTTTCATAGTAAAAGTTATGGCTGTTACTTGAGTGTGTGTCTCCAGTTCCTTCTGCACCTCTTACAGAATCTCTAAGGTGACTGCCTTCAGTTTGCCTGTAGATCATGTTAGGTACTTAAGAATGTGGCAGGATGACTACACTTGTAAAAGAAAAGTATAATATTTGGCTTTCTGTTTTCCAGATTTTCTATGATATGATCGTATGACTTAATAGAGTACAGAAGTCTACTTGGGAGGGAATAATGGTGAATTATTTAAACAATAGGAAAATGATTTTAAAAAGTAAATGATAACTGATTTTAAAGTAGCTAAAGACCTAAGAACTAATGATTACTTGCGTATCCACATGCCACATACAACTGTAAGTGCTTCTTTAACATGCAGGTAAGCCCTGTGAGTTAGGTAGGGTAGGGCTACAGTTAAGAAAGAAGACAATAATAGAGAGCTTAAGCAACACATTCAAGATCACACACCCAGGGCTGGTGGAGTGACTCAAGTGGTAGAGCTCCTGCCTAGCAAGTGCAAAGCCCTGAGTTCCAATACCAGTACCAGCAAAAAAAAAAAACAAAAACATTCAAAGCTGGGCATAGTGATGCAATGCCTAGCACTTGGGAGACTGAGCAGGAGGATTAAGAGTTCCAGGCCAATTTGGGCTACATAGGGAGACCCCTGTCTCAAAACAGAAACAAAAATAAAACAACAAAAAAGATCAGAGATTGCACAACCAATAGGTTACAAAGGTAAGATTTGAACCCAGATAGTATAGCTCTTATTGGCACTCATTTTACCAAGATGCAGTGTTGCTAGTAGCTCAGCTAACATTTTGTCTGTCCAGTTCTCAGGCTGTACAATGAGAGATCTGAAAATTAAATGGGTAATTTGCTACCAGCTGCCATGGCCTCTGTGTTCCATGATCCTCACTCACTGTTACATGTAGCACCAATGCTCAGTGTAGTGACACTCTGGAGCATTTGGAAGATGGAGGAGGGCAAAAACAGTCATAATATTTCCAAACTCTCTTAAACTCATCCCTTTATCTTTGAGCTTTTATTCATGAGAAATATATGTAAAAGGTACACATACAACTGTATAGCTTGATGAGTTTTCACAAACGGAACACACCCTTGTAAAATGGAACACACCCTTGTAACCAGCAACCAAATCAAGAAACAGAGTAGTTCCAGAAACCTCCCTTGTGTCCCTTTTGGTCACTACCCTTCCCCTATCTTGACTTCCAGCACCATCATCCTTTCTTTCTTTCTGTCTTCCTATTTCCCTGCATAGGCACCATGTGCCTAAACTTGTTACTAATAGCCAAAGGAGGACCCATCTCCACTCTTGTCCCCTGTATTGTTCTCCATCCTGCATGTGACTTGATTGCCAGATCAAGTAGTCAGCATTTAAATGCATTGCTCATCTATAAAGAGGGGATAATGATAGCAGCTGCACATGAAGTTATTGAGAGGATGAAATGACTCACTTAGAACAGTGCCTGACACATGCTAAGTATTAAATGATTGTGTAACGGTTACCTGCCATTATTAAGACTTTACATGGATCAGAAGGTGGATATTGTGGTAGAACACTTGTCTAGCATGTGCAAGGCCCTGGGTTTGAGCCCTAGCCCTACAAAAAATTTAAAATTAAAAAAAAAAGATAGGTACCTTGGGTTTTTGGTTTTTAGGAGGTTTTGGCAATAACACTAAAGACTATTTAACAGCAAAACCTTCTTAGAAAATACCTTGCTTGTCCCTGAATCAGATGCCTGC